ACATATTATGTTTTATTAATTTTTGTTTTTTATTAAATATATACATATGTAATATATATATATTTTATATATTAAGATATTTTAAACATGGAATATTTAAACTCGGATAAAAAACGACATAAAAACTTTATTGAGAGAATTTTACTTCCGTGATTTTATCAGTGTCCATCAAAGTTGAGTCATCAAACATGGGATCTCTCACATGTATATAATGACCATGCTGCATACACACGTTTTCAAAAGTGAAGCAACCACGTCCATACGGCTGTATCGTGTATAATATCTCTATTAATTAAATATATATTTCTTCGGTCTTGATCAATGCTGCTCAAGATTTATAATTCTAGACATTGGCTCGATGTGTATATTTTTACTTATTGCCTTTTTTTTCTTGATAAAGATAAGCGCCGACATACGTCAAGTTTATGCTTAGAATTACAAATCTTAAACAGCATTGATCTAGGCTTTTATAAATGAGATGCTCTTATTCTACTTGGGACTCGTGATCTGGAGGTATGTGTATAATCAATGCGCCGCGATTACTTTTCTGTTTTCATTCCGTACCAAATTCAGCGTCCAAGAACCATGAAAATGATAGCGCGCATAAATGAGTTGTCCGGATCCTTGCATGCGGTCTTCCATCCACGTCCCCATAAATTTCGACTCTGTGTCAGCGTATAAATATGTTCCTATACCATGACGAAGATCATCCTTCCATGAGCCCTCGTAAATGTCATTGTTCATATAATAATAAATGCCAAAACCGTGCTTCGCGTCGCGTCTCCATTCCCCTAAGCAGATTAATATTTAACACATCATCGAATTTTATCTGTAACGAATAATTATTGCCAATCAAAGTCAAATGTCATCGAGGTTGATCTTAGCGAAGATCTCGAGTTGTCGCGACTTGTCACTCGTATTTACCTCTTTCGAAAATTCCTGGCACACTCTTAGCATCTTTAAGATTTCTGACGTGCGACATAAAAATAATTGTATGAATATACATATGGACGTGTCGACATGTCCACGTGTTTACTGTGTGACTTCCTCGAGTCTGATTCGGATCCTATTTTTGTACATTCTTCCATACCTTCGTATCGCGTTCCATCAGGGTACCAAAAGATCCCTTGCCCGTATTTCTGTCCGTCTCTCCAATCGCCGTTATATCGGGCACCGTTTTTAAATACGTAGATACCTTTGCCATGCCTAAATCCGTTACGATATTGACCGACATACATGTCACCATTTGGTAGCAAAGTTTTTCCGTTTCCATGCCTCTCACCATTCTCATTTCTTTCGCCCTCGTAGACCTGCGATCGCCAAGAGATGTCTCGTATAAATGCAACGATGTTTTAACACAGCGAATAAATTAGTGTACTGCTATTACAAAACGTTAAACATAATTTCCTGCTAGTATATAATTATTAAAAAAAAAAAAGAAAGGACCAATATAACGATCTTATTGCTCATGTACCCCCAATGAATCAATCTCTGGCTTTTCTCCAATCTCTGGTTCATTTTGATTCAGATTTGTTAACGATGTTTCCATTTTTCATCATATTTTGTCGATCGTTTCATGTAATTCATCAATCTAAATTTCGACTGTTTAGACACCAATCGATTTTTATGTTTCCTGATTGTCCTTTATCGATTGATATATAATGCGTGCGTAAATAAAAAATTTGACATTTTAAGATTCAAGACTCTAATCTATCTTAAAAAAAAAATAAGTATGACAACGATTCATATCAGAAAAATAATATTAAGAAATAAAAGTCGAGATATATAACAAATTTATAATTATAATTTTATTGGCGTATACTTTTGCAAAATAGTCGACGATAATTAAATAATGTCGTAATTCACAATGTTCCTTTGTCCTAAACAAAAATCCAGGTGTGTGTGTGTGTGTGTGTGTGTGTGTGTGTGTGTGTGAGATGGTTGATTATTTGTAATTTTGTTGGTGAATATCAGAACATCAGAACATAATAAATAAAATTTCATCTCGTCATCGACCGGTAAGTAGACCGATTAACGTTTGCTTCTCCTTCTCCTTCTTGCGTACAGACTCCAGATTTCTTTGTTTCCACGAGCTCTTACGAAGTTTTATCGGACGCGATCCTACATATCGGCCTGAAACAAACACAACTATCAGAAACACAAATAGATTGGTTCGTTGCATATTAAGCACTAATGATGTGCTACTTTTAATTGTAATTTTACAATTAAAATAAAAAGTGCTCGTCATAATTGTGTATTAATTTTTCTTAGCAATTATTTCATACGATATTGTTATGTATTAAAAGTTCAGTGCCTTCTAGCGATCAAGAAAAGCAATTTGAGCAAAAAAGAAAATATACGTTAAAATTTAATTTGACCCTTCTGCACATTCACCAAATTTCTTTAAGATCAATCTTATTTACACCATTTTATTTACATCATTTTATTTACACCCAAGAACAGATAACCTGAAGAAAATGTGAGTGTTTGTAATCATGTATTAAATAATTTTTTTTTACCAAGGTCACATCTAACAAGTTTAGTCTACCTCTTACCTTCACTGTGAATTTTAGGAATTTAGGAATTTAGTCTAGGATAGTAATCATTAGTAAAGATCGATAGTAAAGATCTTTAATAAGGTATGAGATTCATTTACTGCGAGAACGATGTCGTCCATATATTTATAACAAAACCCTAAAAAAAAAGGGAAGTCTTTTTATGGAATTAGAGATATAAAAAACAAGTATTTTTGACTTCGAAGAAAAGTATCAAGTAAAAAACGAGTTTTTATGGTAAAACAACGTATTTTTAACCAAATGACATAAAATTCATGAAAAACATATAGAATTCATGTTAAATTATATACAAAAAAATATAGAATTCATTTTTCTTGATATTTATTGTTAAAATATTTGATACCTATGTTATTTCGTCATTATTTAATATTTTTTTACTTTCATATCAAGATGGAAATGCATTGTTGCAATGTCTATAATGAGTTGATGTCTTTTTGAAATTAGTACCCCTGAGAAAGAACTGATTTTCATATTATAAACTGTGATATCGAAATTAAAATATTACGGAAAGATGCTTGTGTGACCAAAAGTGAAAACGTTTGGATATCTAAAAGTAGGATTCATTCAAGTCAAAGTGATCACAATCGAGAGGAGAATTTGGATCAGTTGTGTATGTTTGATCAACGTACTGCGAGGTTGCACTGCGGATCATCGATTAATCTCAGACCCTGCGAGTACCTCAAGCAATTACGAATCATATATCCGTTCAATATTCATCATATCCTAAACTCCATCTCGTATATTACATATGCATGCGCACGCGATTCGGACGAGTCTTTAATCTGGCGTTGCGTTTACTTATTCGTTTGTTCAAACTACTTGTTGCGTCCGCTCAGTTTCGCGAGATATACTCCTAGCTAGATATTCTCTTTCTCTCCTCTTTCTACTGCCTAGCGAATCTAGCCGTAGGAAGGCTCTTTCTTTCCTTCTTACTCGTTAGCAAAATGTAATATAAACCTTGAACAAAATCGACAAAGAAGCTGAGATCTTAATAAACGAAGAAAAAAATTTTGCCCGTTTTTATGTAGGTGCTAAACTGCTTGTGAATAGCAACGAAACTTAATTAAAATAAAAGATTATTATTAGAAGATCAAAATGTTCTATAATCACAAGTCACAATCCTTTAAGTCAACTGTTCAAAAATATACTCTTTGGAACATTAAACAAATTGACATACTTTGACATGAAGTTTAAAATATTGTATCTCATAAACTATTATTTTTTTGTAATTGTATCCTAATACATTTTTATACACAAAATAATAAAATGAATCAATTAATGTAAAGAAAATACATAGTTGCTTTTAAAACAAATTATCGAATTTGCAATATACAATTACACATCATTTTTGAAAAGCAATTATGTGATTTCTTTGCATTAAATTCTTTGATCTTACTATTTTATGTATATCTCTTACTACTCTGTGTAACAAAAAAGTTATAAAAGTAATAAAAAAATTAATTTACGAAATATTTTTTATTTCATGTCAAAACGTTCCAGAATAAAATATATTAACTATTGATTTTTACAACTTTACTTTAATGCTACTATATGCAGAAAAATTAAAGGAACATATTATGTAAACAAAAATCATCTCACTTAAAAAACAGCGGTATAATTAACAAATCGATTTATGATTCTAATAGACTTCTTTCTCAAATTTAAATATTAGATTAGATATTTAGTAGCTAGCCTATTATTCTTTCATCAATATGAGATCTATTATTATACACAAGAAGTCCAAACACTGGGCAAGGTTCCTTATGCTAATTTTTACTTTCAACGTTCGCCAATTTTCTGGAATGTTAATAAATAAGAGACCTCAATTGCTTTCATGATTATACGACGAGGGAGTATATTTTATTACGTGACAAATCTTTCTGCGAAATCCCACGTATCGGCTCGTCCGCGACTACAGAAATTCCAATAAATTTCCATGCGTAACTACACTTTGTGTATAATTCATTGATCTTTCGCGCGCTTATATTTCATTGTACATTACGGACGTCAAAGACTGAACGTATAAGTTGACAAACAAATATAAGTAACGACAATGTTTTACAACATTCCTTGGATGCTTTGATTGCCTTTCAGCGAGTCCGAAATATTTTAATAAGCGTTATCTGAAGGAATCGCAATAGACGACGTCCACTAATTTATATATTTATATATTTCGCATTACTGCCACAAATTCAGCCGATTATCTTTAAGAAGCAAGTATGTGCTAAGATGTACTTACAAATAGATATATACTCACAACTGCTTTCACATACGCACGCAAGAAAATTCCTAAATTTTTAATAAATTTTTTATTGCAAATTAATTTTTTATTGCAAATTAATTTTCTACGTCAAATACACGAGAGAATTTTTTCTTAGAATTTACCTCGAAAATATGATATTTCTGGGACAATATTGTATTTCAAAGAATTTAATGTAAATTTTTCGCATTAATAAAACTAAAATAAAGTATAAAATAAGTTTGATTAATTTTACTGAAGTGCATTGTAAGAATTTTTAAAATATATCGTGCTACAATTATCATATTTTCAAGGTGAATTTTAAAAGATAATTTTCTATGTGTATAAATAGTAACCTAAAGAAAGTAACCTAAAGAAAAGGCTATATATTCATTATTTTCTTTAAAATTAATAAATTTTGCCTTCAATTTGACCATACAGGGGTCTCTCTCTGAAGAAATATTGGAATTCTAAACTGCATCTGATAATTCCAAGTTGCTCCTTTACGTTTCTTGAAACAGTACTTAAGAATATTGACGACATTTTACGTACATCCGTAAAGTAATACAATACTATATATTAAATACCTTCTGACTTGTAACTGTTTCCAAAGTAATTTTCGTTTGAAGATTAGGAGTCTATTAGAGAAGTCCATTCAAAATAAAAAAAAAAAAAAAAAAAAGAGAAACCACAATGATAATAGCAATGACGACAATGCTGAGAAATAGAGTAAGTAAAGAAGGAAAAAAATAAAAGAAACTGCGAATAACCGGATCATCACAGCCTGTTCCGAGATTTTTGATTGGCTGGCAGCTAAAGAGAGGGGTATTACGAGAATTTGTAGTAGAAGGTAGGGGTTGTTGAATGGGTAGCGTGAACGCTCAGCCTCCTGACGCACTTGGTCGCATCCACCCCAACGGATAACCGGCAAACCGTACAGCCGTGCGGTTTTGCATCTGAGCCGCGAAACTACCCCCGTCTTTACTCCGAGAGTGTATGCCGAGAAAGCGTAAATCGAACGAACGAACGAACGATAGTGGCGTATTCCAAAGGTATGTGTTCTCTTTTCAATATAAAAATCAGATTTTTTAAATTAACTGATAAGATAAAGTACACGGATCGAAGAACTTTCTTATAAAATATGATACCAACTCGACATATCCTTTCGCGGATTCTCTGTGTTGGTTTTACGACGATTATTATATAATTTTGATGTCAATGCGGAATTTTGACAGTAGTTTCGCGTTACTAAAGACGTCTATATGGAGCATCGAGATGGAATCACATCATGTATCTCATTGCGGTCATGTCATTTTCGCAAAAACATTAGTTGCTTGTCCAAATGTCTCGCAGTAACCCTTGATTTTTTTTACTCCTGAGCATAACGTGAAGAAATAATGTTTTTCTTCTCCACAAACTTGTTTAACTTGTTACGCTGCATCATATGGGTGTGCGTGAATGTGTATGTGATACGCATAAATATGTGAGTGCTAAAATTAGAAGGAACGGTATATAAATAGTATCACCGTTGTAGAAATTTCATGGGAGAAGAACGTACACAGCATATTTGCCTGTCGACAAAATCACTATTGTGGTGACGATTAATGTTCGCCAAGTGACAAATGGACCAGCGAGCTTTCGCTCGTTCGTAATGCGATCAAAAGCGTGCGGGGCACATAGTAGAAGATAGTAGAAGACTTTTTGCATTTCAACACTCCTTAATATTATTTCTACCTGTAAATACTCATTTCGAAACGAATTCCTATGGATTATGTTACAATACACCGCTAAAACTATGTCAATGTTACGGGAAAAGCGGGACGACATTCCTCGATGATATGTTTGTCATTCGTATTTCAGAATGTTCAGAATAGAAACAAAATACTTAAGAGATACAGCACAACAACGAATTATCTATTTTTAAAGCGAGCAAAATTTTTAACAATTATGATTCGTATCAGATCAAAGAGAATAAATCAATTAAGAGAAATAATTTTATTTTCGGTCAAAGCGAATCTTAGTGCTTAAGTACTTCACACATACAGATACACAGTGAATTTCTGTGAATTTATATGCATCCAATTTTGCAAACCGTATGCTGATATTTCTTTCAGTCTTGAAACGCAATCATGAATAAAACTAAAATAGTAATATCACGTAGGGTAGAGCGAGGCTTTTTCTCTATTTTTCGCGATAATGTTTATATTTCTGAACAGCATATGTTAATTATTTAAAGGTTACATTTGTGCTCTTAAAAAATAATCATGATCATATAATATAATTATTAACACGTCACTGCAAAGAGATATTGTTTGCTATCGTAAATTTTTGAAAGTTAAAAAACTGACGAAATAACTTTGCTTCTACCCTATTAAATTGACAAACGAATTAATAATTTTTAATACGCATAAAGTATCTTAAAAACTATAAATAATTTATTGCAAAAACAATTACTATGCCTAACTAAGAAGAGTCTTATTCGATCAAAATTGAATTTTACAATTAGTGCCCAATATGTATTTTTGTTCCCAATATGAATTTATATTCATTTTTTTTAATTGTATGAACAAAAATCTCTAGTACGAGTAAATAGATGCAAATAAATTTATTTTAACAAGATTCACTAAACGCCATCACTTTCAAACTGCTCATAAGCATAAATTTATTTATCGAATTCTTACGCTATCAATTTTATAAAATCGATTGTAATCATACGATTTAAATACGTGATATTTTATAAATAATTACTTATAAAGTCTTTGTCTTACTTAAATTCAAGTGTATTCCAATTTCTTTCTTTTTTTAGAGTTTTTTACGAATACGAAATTAAAATGAAAACAGTTTCTAAACTGCTCCAAGTACTGATACTCAACATATTGTGGGCAATGGCCAGTTATGCGGCGCCGCTGTTAGAGACAAAGGACATTTGGAGTCAAAATATTTTCGCACCTGTAATCAAGGCAGCATGCTCTTCTGACGGACAATGCTGGGAATGGTTGCCGATATTGGAAACATACAATGGCAATGTCATACTAAAAGAAAATAGCGATATTTCAAGGTATACACATGCGCAATGTACGTACTTTCCTTCTGATGGGTCTGTTTTTTATTCTTGCATTCTCTGGTCTAATGTATGGTAGTTTTTACGAACGGTTAGCTTTGCAAAAATCGGTCTCAAAATCATAGGTTCAGAATGCATTTCTCGACGAGCTCTATCGATTGGTATAGTCAATTTTTCAAAGTCAATGGAGGACAGAGATAATTTAACAATTATAATTTGTATTAGATCGACGAGAATAAATCAATTACAAAAAAATTTTATTTTTGGTCGAAACAGATCTTAGTGCTTAAGTATTTCATACACAGTGCATTTATGAATTTATATACATATCCAATTCTACAAACCATATCCAAAGGTTTGCAGAATTTGATTCGTGACTTTTCTACGATGATTCCGTAAAAAAAATTTAAATTTAATATATGAAACTAAAATGATATCATACTTATTATCGTATAAATATTAAACAAAGATATGATATTTCAGAAAGCACGCTGTACGTGAATATATTATACAGAGTGGGACAGTAACTCTGTCCACTTAAAATATCTCCGCTATTTTTAGAAATATAAAGTAATATATTTACTGAAGTTGTATAGCATCAAGAGGGATACAATATCCTACTAATAATTTTTCTATGAGTGGAGACGTATTATTTGTAATTAATCTTTGAATATTTTCTTGTGTCTGATAGATTGCAATCTCGACGCCACGTAGCAAGTCCAGTATCTGAATTTATGTTGAGATCATGGAAGGATAATACGTTAGAAGAGCCGGGACGGGAGATTCGAGCATCTTTATCAACAAACAAACAGATGCCTATTAAGATCACAAAGAAAGATGTATTCGTATCTCGTAATTGGGGTGCCGGTGGCATGCCTTTCTCTGTTTTGTACATGAATTCGCGATCGAATCATGCTGTTGCAACATCGAGTAAGTGTTAATGCAATACTAACGTAGAAAAAAAACAGAGAAACTTTATAACATATTTACAAGTAATATATATTAATATAGCGACTCAACGACAAGAATCGGGTGCAACAACCGAGAGTTTGCCGCCTTTCGTAGAACATCCGAACTCGCGTGTTGGTTCACGAAATGGTCAATCTACCACACAACCAAGAAAACAATATTGGACTATACCACAGCTGTTTATATCATACGGCTGGGGTTCTTTTGGAAAATAAAAACAAGTAACAATAATGTATGATATTGAGGAAGATAGACATATCAACATGAAGAAAAATAAGAGAAAAAGAAATTAATTTTCGTGATAGAAATAGCCAATGAATGCAGAACAATTATCAAGTTCTATTGCAACTGTAATGCATTCTGATACTTAAAACTGTAGCTTATTTCTTCGTGCAATATTTTTTTTAACATATAATGACATATTAAATTTTTTATTTATAATATATTACGTTAAGTAAACAATAACACTCCAAAACTGTAGAAAATATCGATGTTATAATCGAAATATCTATTTCCTGTTCTACATTTATTATAAAAAAATAAATATTTGACTCACCATTCATTTCCTTCATTGCCTTGATAAAATCTTGTGGATCTTTAAAGGACACAAATCCGAAGCCTTTGGTTTTATTTGTCCGTTTATCTCTAACCACCTTTGCCTTTTGAAAACTGGGATATTTTCCAAATACCCTCACCAGCATTTCATCGGTAACGTCATTCCCCAGATCACCGCAAAATATCCTAAAATCATCTAGACAATATACAGAATACTGTTATATAATTTTTTGTATAAAAGAAACTTAATTAAATCATTTAGACAAATATATTCATTACCTTCGTCCCATTCTAATAAAGAGGGATCTTCCCAAGTTTGGCCACCAGCAGTCCTTATAATTTTTTTGTTTTTCTTCCCTTTACCTTTGGGATGACTCTCTTCTGCGCTAGCGTTAGCCATAATGGAGCTTGCTTTTCCTTGACTGATAGCTAACTCAGCCGCTGTACTGACACCTTTAACCTTTGGCTTCTTTTTACCCTCATCTTCAGGAATCTTTGTATTAATAATTTGTTCAATAATTTCTGGATGGATCATTGGTGTTGATGCAGAATCATATGTTTTTGGCGTTGCGCTTAAACACGGATCCACCATATTTGACATATATGGATTACTTATTTGTGCAGGTGAAGAGTATGTTGTAATAGGAACTGAACCTGTAAAAATTATTACCAATTATTACCTTAAGAAGCAAAGTATTCTCTTGTATTATTTTTAGATATGTCTCAAAAAATATTAATCTTACCTTGTCTCGTTACTTGCTGCGGAATTAACATTGGTGGTGGAGGAGGAGGAGGTGGAGGTGGTGGTGGTGGTGGAAATCCAATCATTGGAGGAAACGCTAATGTTGCTGCTGCAGCTGCTGCAACTACTGGCGTAGTGAGTTCATGTTGTTCCAATTGCCTGGCAACCTGATTATATGTGTTTGCACCAATTACTGGTCTTACAATTGGCGTTACAAGTTGTCCTCCAATCTCAGCTTCGAATCTGAAATTTATATTTAATAAAATAAAACTGAAATAAATAACATAATGAAACTTTTAATCGCATACTATTCATTTTCTTTAAATATATCATTGTACAATTTGTTGTATTACTATAGCCAAAGTTACATACAGAATACATTTAGAGCATGCAGAAAAAACAAGGTTAGGATGAGTATCGCGTTTAAATATATACTTTGCATATTATAAATGTATCTCTAAATGTAATTCCGATATAGCATTATAACAAATAAAATGCCTGACAAAATCCAAAAGATAAGGTAATTCATCATACCTGTTCATCTCATCTTCCATTTGCCGAAGTTTATCATCCATATTTGCAAGTTAGTTGTTGACGAAATAAGAAATATTTTTGTATATATATGTGCGCGTCTATCTGGGACCAAATTTTACAATAAATACAATAAATTAATTTCTTCTCGTAAAAAAAGAAATATTAAATGATAACTTCAATGCTACTTCAAAATTCGAATTGTTTCTTGTTCTTCTACAATTTTCCTGCTTAAATTTCCGATCCAATATAAAGCGAGCAGTTCGAATCACTTAACCCAAACGGGCCATGGCGGCGTCTTTAAGTTCGCAGCACACGATGCATATTTTCCAATGGCCTTAAGCTCATAGCACACATCAAAAACGACGTGACGTAGGTGCGGTCCACTCGACGCTACAAATGCTTTGGAACTTTTGATTGACCAATCAAAAAATGCTTTGAAGCATTGGTTGCGTTTAGCAGACTCAACAATTGAGTGAGCATTTATTGGTGTATTCTTTTAGATCATCCAATCAGCATTTTAGATTTAGAAGAATACATCAATAGCAGCAAGCGTTTACTCAACTGTTGAGTCCGCTGAACGCAGCCAATGAGTGATCGTGTTTCTGGATTCACCCAATGAGTGCACTTTGTAAACTAGGCCTCATACTATAGTTATGGTTTGAGAGAACATGTCCGCTGTATTCCACATACTAGTCTCGTTTGACTTTAATAGAAGTAGAGACCGTACGGATGAGATACGTTTGTGCGACGACTGTATGTTTGTATTTTAATTTACAAAATGTATTAATATCGACATCGCGCGCCAGTTTTATCGTGAATATTAGTGATTTAAATTGCACACCACAGTAAATGTCATATCAGTCGACGATAAGAAATTGCACGTATCCTTTTGTTATATTTTTTTCATATAATCAACTATTCACATTTGCTACTTGTACATTAGATTTATACAAACAGATTCGTGTTAAATATATACCGTGAACGCTTTCTAGTTTTTTTAACATTTATAATTTTCCTATAATTGCTTTTTTATAGTTGTTCTTCATAATTACAAAGAAATAAGTTTTATTTGTTTTATGTAGTAAGTAGATAATTTAATTATATAGTATGATTGTATGCACCTTGCCTATTTAGGTATGGCTCTACAATCTATATTATATATTTATACAGCTCTCTTGTTTTAAAACTGTGTTTTTTGATTCATTGTTTTTAATCTTTGTAACATTTTGGAATAGCATAAAATTTTATTACTGTATGTAATTTTTTATATTATTTTTTTTTAACTATGCTTATAACTCTTAGTATAAATATGATTTTAGATAACTAAAATTTTGGCAGACATCAAAACTACTAATGGCAGAGGAAGAAAGGATATTATCTCTTTCAGGTAGAAAACATGTTTCATTCTTTTTTGTTATTACAGGATTGTGTTAAATTTAATTCTTCTCTAATAAATGATTATTTTATGTGATATTAGAAAAAAATGGCACAGATGCTCCTCAATCAAAAGATACTTATATTCCGGAAGAACCAACTCCAGATATCTCTATTTCCTTGTTGGACATACAAATGCCAGAAACTCCAGATAGTACCAAAGGTCAAACAAGCGATGGTGATACATCTAGATTGGAGAGTCCAAAGACAGTGAAACCAGTACTTGGAAAAGTCCAAGCAAAGAAACGATTAATGGCATTTGCTAATCAATTCAAAGCATTGCCTAAATCCCAGATTAAGTCAAACATGTCTCAGCATTCTACTGGACCTTTAAAGACAAAAGATAAAACTGTTCAAGATGATAAATCAAGAAAAAAGACAGGTGATATATTTTATCATAAAATTATCTTTAAATAATTGTGTTCGCTGCATGTAACTGTATTTGTAAATTGCAATTATTGTATATTTGCCAAATTTGGAATTGTAAAGTAAGTAAAAAAAATTTGCATATTTAAATAAGAAAAGTTATATTTTAGAATTATGAATGAAAAATTGAACACATTTGATCTTTTAATTATGATTTTTTTTTTAATCACAAATTATTTGTAATGAATTAACAAATTGTTACAAATATTTTACATTAATTTTTCAATAAAATAAATAGAATGTGAAAATATAAATGTTTAATTTTATTTAGAATAGCTTAATTAAGTTTTGTTGATATTTTTATAAATTTATATTATGCAATATAGAATATAATATTGAAAATTGCTTTAATTAAAAAAAAAATAATCAAATATAATTCTTAATACTTAAGTGTGTGTAAATCATTCTTTTTAATTAAGTGAAAATAACAGTTTTCTATAATACAATCAGTGCATATAATTTGTACATATCATTGATTTATATTATTATATATTGATTGTTATGATACATTTTTATTTAAATTATTATATTGATCAATTACGAATTTTAATTTTTTTTTTGCAGAATACCATTGAATTTCTTTAATATTTTGTTTTCCCAATATCCACATATAAATTATATGTAATTTTATTCAGTATTGCGTGCATTACAGTTTTATCCTTATTTATATTACAAAATTAATGCAAACAAGAATTAACAAATAAACTATTGCAACTTTATTTTATAATATAGGCTACTTCTAAACAGAAAAAGAAATCTTCATGTATGCATTACATAATTTTTAAGCATTCAGTTAATACCATATTATTCATTTTGCATTTGCAACTTTTTTATTTAACATTATATCAATTTCAAAATTGCAATTTCCAAAAATGTTAAAGACAAAGTAGTTGATTTTTATAGATTTGTATGTCCAATTCTTAAAATTTATAATAGAAATAAGTATTTAAATTCTTTTTGTTGTCAACGAATGTTATCTAAATAAGATCAATAATTTGAAGATGATAAGATTTATAAATCTATTTTTAACTAGATTACAATTTATAATTTTACAGAGGAAAAAATTCTGGCTATTGAAGAAATTCGAAGAGAGGAATCTAAAAGTAAAATGTTACTCGCAGAAGCTATGGCTGCAGGTATTATTTTCATATATTTATTATTATAAATCAAGCATTTAATGATAAAATCTTTTTTGTAGCAAGTATGGAAGACGAAAATCATACTGGCAAAAATATATCTAGTTTACTCGAAAGTAAAAAACATACAAAAGAAAGAAGAAAACATGAAGAAATAAACAATGATCGCAAAAGTAGATCAGTGGATCGAAAATATTCAGAAAGTTAATATTTTTTATATTAATATATATTCTTTCCTAATTTTTATATATATGTAAAATATATTTGTTCTATTATTTTTTATACTCTGGTAAATATTAAATAAAAATAATTATTTTTAAGGTCTCGACATTATGACAAAATTAATAAAGATAGTTCGAATCAGGATGTGAAAAATCGAAATGAAAGTATAGAACGTTTTACACAAAAATCATCTCAGAACAGAGGAAAGCATAAGAAAGATAAGAAAAAGAAAAACGACAAAGATAAACGAAGTAATAGCAAAACAGATACAAATCGTGATAAGAAAGAAGGAAAGGATAAAAAAGAAACTGTAAAAGAAAAAGAAGAAGAGACAAAAGAAAAAACTGAAGCAATAAAGAATAAGAAAGAAAGTATAAAAGAAAGACAAAATGATATGTCAGAAATGGAAGTAGAAAGCAAAGATAAAAAAGAAAAAGACAAATGGAAAGAAAAAATATTATTGAAAAGTAACTCGTGGGCGGAACTACGAAAATCTGGTTCAACTTTCGATGATATCATTCATCTTAGAAGACGTAATAATTCAGAACGATCTATAAAAATCAGGTATATGTTTGAAACAATTTTTCAAAAGTTTGGGAAATAATTAAAAAACGGCAAATAAATAAATAAATATATATATGAATTGCATGCAGTTGTCGGGGCACATAAATAAATTTGATAGAAGAGAAAAGTTTAGTACATATATAATGTTAAATTTACTTTTTAGGGGTAAAGTTTTTTTTATATATCAAATTAAATTAAACTAATTGTTAAAAATTTTTTTTTATTAATACAAAAATAATAAATATAAATATGAAGGCTATATAAGAATCAACGCTGGTTATAAACATGCGTGATAATTCTAATAATAAATTAATACAAAAATTGAAACGTTTCAACTCAACTTTGAGTTATCTTCAGCCTATACTTCTTAAACGTAATGCCGCTAATTCGAAATATTTGCAAATCAATATCTCCAAATTTTTTGTTAAAATTTTTTTCGTCACATTAAAATTTTGTTGAAAAAGTTGAACGTTCTAATTTTTGTATTAATTTATTAAAATTCATACATGTTTACAACTAGCATTGAATCCTATAGCTTTTACATTTACATCGATTATTTTCATATTTATATCAGGGTTGTTTGAAAAGTTCTGAGCTTTAACACGAAAATGGCATTACTATTACTCATTAAAACCCATTTTGATACTACAATTGTACTTTTGCAAGATACCTGTGAAAATTGTAACCATTTTTGACGCTCAGTTATTTTTGAGAGTCATTTGTGTCAATCGATGTCAGTGTTTCCGTTTGAAAATCTAAGCCTAACTTTGAGTCTAGGAAACAGGAAAAAGTCGTTGGGAATCAGATTTGTGAATACGATGGATAGTTAATTAATTCGAACTGCAATTCATAAATATTTGTTATGGCGATCATTCGATTTTTTCCATTTTTACAAAAACACTGATATTGACTGGCACAAATGACTGTCAAACAACAACTAACTTTTCCCATTCCGATGTTCACTGCCAGTATCGAAACTATACAGTATACGTTACGTGCGCTATAGATGTTCAGCGCTGGCAGTAAATTTCGGAATGTACTTTAAGCATCCACAATGGTTACAATTTTCACAGGTATCTTTCAAAGCATGTACAATTGTAGTACCAGAATGGAATAATGCTCCATGTTGAAGCTCAAAACTTTTCAAACTACCCTCGTATATCTATATTTACATATTAAGCGTGTTTGTGTATGATGTGTTTTAGAACAACGCAAGATTATGCACGTTATTTTGAACAAATGTTAATGTTAAATAATCATCGTCTAAAACGTCAGTCATTGATAGCTGAGGGACTTAATGGACCCAAAATGTATCCACCTGAATCGATTAAGCTGACGAAACGAGCAAGGGGACTTCAATTATTGTATTGTGAAAATCCGCGCGTTTCTCTTTTGTTAAATATTTCGCAACTTCTACAGGTCGTCCCTCCTGAACGTTGTGAGAAGATACAAGACATTTGTGAAGCGTCTTTACCACGGTATGTCATAATATCCTTTGTGTCCAAATCTTTATCTATCTAAATCTTTGTACTTGCAGGATTGATACTGAAGACACAGTGCTGCAGAAGCAGCGTAATTGGTATCAACAAATAAATACAATTGACTACCATAAAGATACCAACTGGCAGATGACTATACAACTTCCTAAGTCAAAATGGGATAGTGAAGATGAGGAAATATCGTCTATCAATGTAGCAAAAAAAGAAATCAAAGAACCAGTAAACAAACTGCATGTTTCCGTAAACCAACGTAAGTGATTTTTAACAATAACGATAATGCATATAACGTGGATGTTAAAATCATTGAGATAATAATAATTCATCTTCTGTTTTAAAAGAAGAGAGATGTTCCACAACGTCTAGTATAACGGATGAAGACAAAATTGATAACAGTGTTGAAGGCATTAAACAAGATAGTAAATCTAGTGAAAAGATCATCGAAAACATACCGATTAATGAATCTTCTTCGTCTTCTTTGCTACAGCCTGCTGGAAATGAAAAACTAGCTTCAGAATATGAACAATTTATGAAGATGGTATGCACTGCAACTGATGTGACTAAAAAATATTCTCCCAAAAAAAACCCTGTTAAATCTACTTCTCCGCATAGTTATCATGAATTCGATATAGAATCTAATTTAGCTGAAGATAACAATATGGAAATACCATTGACGGAGAAATTTGAAAAAAAGAGTAATCTGGAAACTCTAGAAGAATCGATGAAGAGTACAGAATGTGAGGAGTCTACTATGTCAACAGATTGTCAAATACAAGTTAATAATATACAAATTGAACATACGAACGAAAATGATGAATCTCAGGATTCCAAATCAATTCCAAGTGATTGGGAGAACGTTAGAATAAAAGTTGAACGATTGAGTGATGAGAATACTGAATCTAGAGAAGTAAAAAAGAAGAAAAAAAAGAAAATGACATCCAGTAGTGATTCATCTAGTAGTATCACCTCTTCAGATTCAGAAAAGCAAAAGAAAAAAAGGAAACGCAAACGGAAAATACTAAGTAATTCATCTTCTTCCGATTCTGATAGTACGGATAGTACTAGCAGTAGCGACTCTAGTAGTTCGGAAGAAAGAAGAAAAAGAAAGCGGAAGAAGAAGAAAATTGGGAAAAAAAGAAAAAAGGTGAAACGCATTGCACGAATAAAAAAAAAGCGAAGGAGAAAGATGAGCACGGATTCCAATAGTAGTGATTTAGATGAATATACAAAAAAGAAAAAAAGGAAGAAGAAAACGATGGAAACCAAATCTATTAATAATGGAGATATAAGAAAGATAATATCGAAGTCTCCTGTAATAGCTTCATCAGATGGAACAAAGATATTGCACTCAGTGACTCCAACAAGGAAGATTAAAGAAGAAGCAATAGATGAAGACAAAAAGAGAATTGATCAAGTTATATCAACGAAAAAAAATATTGTTGATATAAGTGTACATGACAATGAATGTTTGAATCAGAGAAAGGAAAGAAAAGAAAGTAAGTCTGACGAAAGTTTCATGGAACAATGGGAAATGGATTCTGTGACAAAGCAACAAAATGATGGTGAAACCTCAAGTCAAGATCGCAGTGAAGAATTGGAAAAAATGGATGGCTTAGAGAAAAATAAATATCGAAGAAAAAGGAAGCATAGTCGAGACAATATTGAGCAAGACAAAGATAGATTATCTAAAGACAATGAAGAAAGGATTCATGAAGGAAAAGTAAAATTAGATGAGGAAATTGAAGCAAAGAGAAAGAAAAGAAAAGAAAAAGATATTAAAAGTAGTGGTGAGTTTCTTGCAAACTGGGAACGGGAAAGTGAGCGTATTACTCAACGGATACAAAATGAAACTAAATATTTGAAAAAATTAGAAAAGCAGAAAAAGGAGAAATGGGGAGAAACAGATTTTGATACATTAAATGTGCCATCTTTGACACAACTTGAAAAAGAAGTACATCAAAAACAACTTCTGGCAGATGAGTGGGAAGTGGATAGTTTAGAAGCAATATCAGATCTAATTATGAGTAAACGAAAAAATAGCCAGGGTTCGTTAAAAAAAACAGAGAAAGAAGTTAAGTATGATAAAAAAACAGATACCTACATTGCAGTAGAAAAGGAAAGTGTAAGAGAAATGAAAAAGAAGCAAGAACGTCTATATGCAATAAGAATATGGGAGGAGGAGCAAGAAGAAGGTGAAAGAGAAGAAATGATGCTCCTGGAACAAAAGAGTAAAACAAATGATTGGGATATAGAAGAAAAACCTCTATTTCATGAGACTACCGAAAAAATAGAAGTTTGTAAAGTTAACGATATTGTCGCGATACAAAAAGAGTGGGTTAAAACAAATGAAAATAAAGATATCAAAGAAGACGCGAATAAGTTAACTGTGAAGTCAGATAAACGAATTAAAAAAAGCCGTTGGGACATAGGCTCTCAGTCTGAAGAAAAATTGGAAGCTAAAGATATATGGGAGGAAGAATATGTCGAATGGGCCAAGATTGACAAGTGTGAAGGACAAGAATTTGAAAGAACAAAGAAAGGAGAACTTTGTCCTGTGGATTATTCGGAAAGCTCTAGTAAATCGGATCTGATAGATTTCTATCATAGAAAATCACAAAGTAGAGAATCGTTGGAAAGATCATGGGCGTCAGATGAAGTTGCGGTCAGACCTATACAAGCAAAGAATGATGCGTCAATAAAACAATCAATTCTTGCGAAAACAAATGAAGAACAGCTTACATCTATCAAGGAGCACCAAACTAAAGATCAATTTAAGGAAATTTCAGAAACCGATGTAAAATTTAAAGAGAATACCTATTCAGTAAAACTATATAGTCCCAGTTCCCCAGCACTTTCTCAAAAGTCTCAGGTAGGTATTTTTATCTATTTATAAAAAAGTGATTGTTAGGAATGTATACATATAGATTTCTTATTTAAATACTAAGTAGGAATATATATAGATCCCTTATTTAATACTTATTTAAATAAACAAATATATATATCCAGTATACATATAGGTCTCTTATTTAAATAACTATTTCTTTTGTTTGTAGGATGTAGAATTGTCTAATGAGAGCAGTTCTTGTAATTCTCTGCTTCGTGAAAAAAGAAAGAAGGAGATGTTAATTACAGCAGATGAATTATCAATTCCCATGTCTGGAATACCTTTACAATTAATAAAACGTGATAAACATACGTCAAGTGAAAAAGCAGAAAGTATTTTGAACAAAATACAATTGGAGGATAGAGATGCTGCTCATAACTTTGACATTAAAGCCACTGATAATTTATTTGACGACATTTCAATCAATGAACCGTGCTCAAAAATACATACCTCTAGACATATAGATATTTTTGCAGAGTATGGAGCAGAGAAGTCATGTGATAAACAGCATGCTGCAAATTCCAGTGCGAACTCAGCAACGAAAGATGATGAAATGAATGAAGGAAAGAACGCACTTAAACTTATCCCTAAACAGCTCTTGATTCGTCGGACTAACGAACAGGTAAAATCGAAACGTATTTTGGAAACACCATTACAGGATCCTGCTCAACATGCAGCAGCCCTATTGACAATACAAAAAAAGTTATTAGAGTCACATGCATTGAAGAATGATATCAAAGAATATCCGAACCAAGAACAGGTAGATTTTCAACAGAAATATAGTAATAGAGATATAGTAACGAGTAATAGCAGAATTGATAACGCATTATTAGATGCAACTGAATTTTCTGTGGTTTCCAAAGCATCAGTAATAGCGATACGACGATCGAGATCTCCGACATCGGAAAAAACGGTCTCTGTTCGATCTGAACAATCTGAGAACTATGACAGAGAAAGCAAAAACGATGATGCAAAGAAATATAAGACTAATCGTAATCTAAATGAAACTAATGTTTCATCGAGTATGCGATCTCCTATCCGGGAACACAGAAAGAGAAGTCCTAGCAAGAAGGAAAGTGAAAAGCGATATTCGCATGATAAGGACAAGAAGGAAAAGAAATCTGAAAGGACATCTGACGATGTAGAGAAGTCTGATAGAAGGGATACTAGAGGTTCCAAAACAGATTTTGCAGATAGGAGAAGGTTTAGTCCTTCGGGACGAGGAAGGAGAAAAAAGAGCCGAAGTCCCTATGTCTCATGGGAACGTCAAGGAAGTGGAAGTAGAAGTCCTGGTCATAGTTGGAGCAGAAGCCGTAGTAAAAGTCCAAAGAGGAAGGACGACACTACTATCAGTACGCGAGACAAAGATAAAAAAAGAGAAAGATACGACGATGAGCGATCATGCAAATCGAGAACAGATGAAAGAAAAGAAAGATATACGCGATCGCCATTACGCTTCGGTTACAACGAGGGTAAAAAAATATTATTTCCTAAATAAATAGTTTTATTCTATATCGTTAGACATTTAAATATATTAATCTATCTACAGATAACTTTAAAAAGCATGGCATTGTATCTTCTAAGAGCAATCGTAACGACTGGGGTAGGAGAAGACATGACAATACAGATAGAGATCATGAGAAAGATACTAGAGTGTATGACCCACTAGAGATTTTGAGGGAAAGAACAATGGAGTCTGAAAAATATAGAGATAATAGGTATAACATGTCCACACATTTGATTTTTATATTTATGTGTCTGAATTTTTCATGTAACCTGCATTTGCTAATAATTTATTATGATGACGACAAAAGGACATATAGAGTTTTGAACTATGTTCTTCACTATTATTTTACATGCAATAAAATTGATATATAAATATACATATAATAAATTTATGTTTATTATAAATATATAATTAACTTATAATAATATTATTTAGGTTTCACATAGAAGAATTAGATCATTGGCAATATGAAAGCAACAATATTTTACGAGATGGTAACGAATCCATGGATTCATACACTGTTGGACAGGATTTGCCTCTTGAATATGATGATCGATCGTATTATAGAGAGGGAAGTCTGGAAAGAGATATGATACAATCTTCGCCTCAATTGCTGCCAAAATACAGGAAGAGGTATTCACAGATTTCTGTATATATTAAATAGATTCAACGAAATATTATAACGTCGATAAAACATTCTTTTTGATTTTCAATGTAAACATTATGTGTATAATTTTATTTATACAAACAATCAAAGCACTTAACGTTTTTTATTCATTGTAAGCAGATCTAATGTAAAAAGGGAACGGCAATGGGAGAAGGACATAGACCCTTCAGATTTGGATCGTCATCCAGAACACAAAATACGAAATCGAACACAACAACGATCAAGGTATTCGCCTCTATGTCAAGAACGATTTCGACGAAAATCTAGATCTCCCTCTTGGTCACCATTAAGATCCCGATCTCGATCTCGATCTAGATCGCGATCAGGATCACGTTCTAGATCAACATCGAGATCAAGATTGAGGATGAGATCGCAATCGAGGTCGAGGAGTAGATCTCCATTCGATGTGAGATCGAGAGTGAAATCTGTTTCTACGTCAAGATTAAGAAGCCCGGAACATTTATTCAGAATGTCTGAATTACGGTCTTCCAGGTAACATTTGATTCAATTTACATGATGTATCCCTCATTTATGATTAAATTTGTCAATTTTAAATGTAGATCTCCTTCACCTGGAAGCGATAGGCTAAACGAAATAGGAAGGGAAAGGAAGGACGATGACGAAAACAAAAAGTTTAGCGCTTCTGGCGAAAGGGGTAGGCGTATAGAGACTATTATACAGTCGGGGATTATGCCAGGAATGAGCATTTTAGATTCAGAAATGGGTATTAATAGCAGTATGGATGCAACTGTTACAAACTTCCAATACTCAAATGATATTGAAGGTGGAAATGAATATTATTATTCAGAGAATAATTTGACTTATCCTCCTTGTATAGATGAGTCATCTACAAGTTCTCCGAAACGTTTATCTCTTGACGATAGGTAAGAATGTATGCCAGATTCAATAATCAATCATAATAAGCACTATATATATATATAGGGTGAGGAAAAAGTACCGAAACCTAAATATCTCGGAAAATACAAGTTTTACAAAAAAGTTTTTCTCAGAAATGCTTACTTTTTAAGATATTTAAGGGATCCGAGACTTTTTGTACATTCTGTGTGCGTGCGTGCGTGTGTGCGTGTGTGTGTATGTAATGTAATGACCACGTTTAATATATTGCTTACAGATTAGAATTAGAATTAGGTATTAAAAAACAACATAATAAGGATTCTACTGGTATAGCTTCAGAATATTCTTCTAATTTTAATCCTAATGTTATTGCGTATCCATCTCCTCCACAACAACAATCACAACAGCAAATGATGTATAGACAGCAGCCTACAGTTGTACAAGTATTTAACATATTATTATATACTTTTCAATAATTATTGAAATAAGCGAATTTATATTAAATATCATTTCTTATGTTTTTAAGGTTGGAAATGTTCTACAAGTAGTCCCTGCTGATTTCAATGGGGTGCAATCAGCACGTCGTGAAGTATCTGCTACAATTACGACTCCGCCCGTGCGATCTGGATCCAGTCAAGTGGTTCGCGTAGGTAACGTTCTCCAAGTAGTACCCACGTCATTAGATTGGAGCAGCAGCAATAACGGCGGCGGCGGCGGCGGCGGCAGCGGCAGCGGCAGCGGCCAGTCTTCGACAGGTCAATCAAATGTAGTTTTATATTCTTCAGCTGTCCCGGCACCTTCCCCCTCGGCGCCTATGTCAATACCTGTCCCCGTCCCCGTTCCATTGCCTGTGCCACCAACCTTACCCGTCACGACAAATACTCTCGCCCCCGTCGCAACTATGTCATCTGTTACGCCACTGCCGCTATCATTGCCAGTACCTGTACCTGTGCCGGTTCCGATTCCCCCCGCGACAGCAGCAGCGTTTCCAAGAAACGAGATTCAGACACAAAGTACGTATATAAGTCTATTTCAGATATGATTCTTACCATCCGAAAAATCTTATTATTCAACGGCGAATGTCTTTACATTGTAGAAATAGTTCAACCCGTGTATAATTACGAAGCTATACTCGAAACGCGCCGTAAGGAACAAGAAGAGCGTAAACGAATACGCGAGTTACGCAGGAAAGAAAAAGAACGTAGGAGGATAGAACGGATTAATCGACGAGCTCTGCGATTATTAGAAAAGAACAATACATCGCGACAAATGAGTGGAGTCTCATTAGATCGTAAGAGTTCAAGTGTAGATCCAGCAGTCCTGAAAGCATTGAAAGAAGGAGACGAACAAGTTGAATCTCCATCAGCTAATCCTATAAAAGAAGAAGAGGAAGCAGCAATATCTATTAAAGAAGAAGACGAAGATGTCGCTGTGGACGAAGAAGAAGATGATGATGAAGATGAGATTGAGGCCGAGGCGGAAGATGATGAAGAAGAGGAAGAAGAAGTAGAAGATGAGGACGAGGATGATGGTGATGATGAGAAATCATTACAAATGATTCATCAGCGAATTGATGAAGCGACAACGTCTGCTGTTAAAGATCAGGCAGAAATTGATACCAGAAAGGAATGGCCGGTGTTGCCACCTCCACCATTAAAAGGCATTTTGGTTGTACCAGGATTTAGGTTTGTCGATATTGCTTTAAATTTCTTTTAAAAATAAAGTTAAATTTCCCCTGAGTAATCGCCATATTGGATCGTGACGTCACAAATGAGAAATAACACGTTGAAGTTTTTGCATGCCATTTGTAATAAAGAAAATTTGGATAAAACAAAATTAGAAAATAAGATCGATTTAAAACACTTGTAAAAATAGGTCGAAGTCATTCTTACTACCTTTGATAGTAAGCAATCATAGAAAACACATGAAATGAAAATTGGTTTAAAAGCCTATTATGTGTAACTTCACATGCCTTTCACGATTATTTACTAATTGTCGATGAGGAGGGAGATATGAATAAGGAGAGGCTTCAGCCTCCTATTTTTACAAGTATTTTAAAGTAATATTATTATTTTGATCTATTCAGAGTGTTCTTATTTATAAATGGCATGCAAGAATCTGAAAGGTGTCATTTCTCGCTCATGACATTACGATCCAATTTGACTAGACAAAAGTTTTAATATTAAAAACTTCTACTGAATAAATTATATTTTATTCAATTTTGCTAAAAAAAATTTTTGTAAATCATCTCTTAACGGCTGCGTTTTGATTTGGACGTTTTTAGAACTTCCAGTCCTTGTTTTATATCTAATAAACGATAGATAAAGACAACATATTGATCATAAACGCTTAAAGATTATAAGCGCGTGAGCGTTCAAACTGAACGCAAAGTACTCTTATAAGTTTTACAAGAATAAGTTACAAGCTGTATTGATTTTGCTTGGAATTAATCCATTAAATTTAATATATTATATTCAACTTGTATGTACTGTGCATGGAATATATAAATGATTTTTTCAGTCCCAATGGCAACTTGGATGATTTATCAGACGCGGACAACAATATCAAAGATGGTAGCGACAAAAATGGAGAGATAGATAAAAATAGTGAATACGATAAAGACGCAGGATCTGATGTCAAATCTTGTAAATCAAATCTAGCAAAATTAAGGAAAATAAAGAAAAGCAAAAAGTCAGTTCAGTTTGCTGATGGTGTGAAACCTGGGGAGGGAACTAGTCCCAGCGGCGGCGAAGGCGACATGCCTTCACCGCCTCCTCCTAAGGGAATAGATTTCCGCGAAGGACTCGGAGATTTGAAAAGAGATAAAATTTATAACTCTCGAAAGAGCAGAAAGCAGGAAAAAAGGGCGAGACCACCAAAGGCAAAGAAAAAGGTTAAGGTACGCGATTGTTACTCCTCTTTCTCTCTTGTTTAGAAAAAAGAAATTTAGATTGAAGAAATGTTTTTTAATTGTATTACGTAAAATATTTTTTCTTTTCTCTCCTTGTATTTTATAGGTAAAGATAATCAAGTTGAAAAAACCACGCATTACGCCATTGACAGCCATGATGATGGATGACTCTGACGAAATTGACGATCGTTCACCACCCCCGCCACCCCCTGGTTCTCCTCCGCCACCTCATCTCTGGCCCAGTTATCTTTCAATCTACAATACAACGGTTCGAGCAATTGAACAACAGACTACGACTGCAACTTTGACATCTGTCCAAGCTCCACCACCACCACCAACTCCGTTGCCTCTTCTGATTCCGCCACCTCCGCTTAATTATACTATCCAACCTTGCAGTAAATCTTAAGCTAACCCCATTCACGGCATCGATTTTGCAATCTTCTCTGGTACAAGTCTGTTTTTTCTTTTTATGAAACAGTGAATTTCTTTCTCTCTCCTTCCTTTCCTGGAAATTCTGTGCGTGGGAAATCGTATTAGACTATAAAAGTGAGAATTGTACATTAGTAGTCTCTTTGAGACTTCAGTGACGACAAAGTTAAAATGATATTGAAGAATATATACCAATAATTGATGTTGTAAATATCCTTGCAATATAATCATTTTCTGATCAAGAGATCATGATCTTTATCTAATAAATGTTGATCCATTGCGTCCGGAACTTTTAATAACTTCATATTAATAATCTATTTCGTATATTTTCGATATCGAGAATTGAATACATAGATTGTCTCTGAACTGATGGTACAATAAAAAAAGATAATTTTTAATGAAAAGAAAGAAAACTTGAAAATTAAATTTTTGCGTCTTTTTAAACTTATTTTCAATGTGCATCATACGTCGTCAAATTTCTTTTGTGAATGTTTATTAAAATATATATATAATATACTAAAAAATATGTATAAAACGTATTTCATTTAATAGTATTTTATTTATTAATATAATTTATTATTATTAATATCGTATTATATTTAAAAAAAAATGGAAATGATTTTACTGTATATATTTATTAGAGTAGTCTTTATTTCATACTTGATGAAACGTTTTCTCATGTATTTATTTGCCGATTCCTCCAGAGTAGTTCCAGATATTAAAAAAATAATATCCGATGCCGAATTTAACCTTTACAAGGTTATGTCTGCAGTATGCGTTCTTTTTAAACGATTGTAATAAAATTTTACAGAGATTATTTTTTAATATCTTGAACTGTTCTGGAGGAATTTAAACAAATATATGAATTT